CTTTCACCATAGATGTATCATAAGGACAATGAATTAAGGCAATTTTACTATCTGTTTCTGGTAATACAGTGTGATATTTCTTATACGAGAGTAATAGTGTTTGATTTGATTATATGACGAATTAGTTGCATAAATGAGGCATGAGCAGCAAAGCTAGCAGACACTGGACAGCTGTTTCGATCTGGTTTGGTCTCGTCAGTAGTGCAAATCCGCCGACTTAATTTGGGATAGAACGCAGGACTTCGCTGGCAGAACACAAGCATACTACTCACTCGGCCACTAGGCAACAGATCAGACCGTTTTCCCTTTTGTATATGCGCGATATAGCACAACCCATCTTTGTGAGCTTATTACGGGCATCGGACCTCGGTCATTTCAGCAATAGCCTTCATTGTTATGACTCAGTTGAAAATTTTCACAACCTGAATACTTGTTTTATGAGCCTCATTGGTAGTATGGGTTCGATCCCCAGTGAGGTCAATGGATTCGCACTACTAGTGAAACCCAACCAAGTGGACGAAGCTGTTCAGTGCTTCCAAGTTTTTCAGCTCATGCATCATTTACACGACGAATTTATAATTCAATATTTCTATAACCGGGTCGAATTACATGAACCGTAAACATACAGTTGTAAGTTTCATTCATGTCCACGAAGATAGTGTCCTTTAGCCTTGTCCGCAGTCTAGCATTCACTGGCCATGTGCAAGTCTGATAGATATGAGCGACCCGGACGGAGTACAGCAGTGCTGCCGAAACCGTGCAGCCGTCGTTCCATCGGGAGGGAACTGAAAACATTTTTCTATTGGAAGTGGTAGATATGGAGAAATGAGTCAGGGAAAATGGCTTCTTGATATGATCATCGGATTTTGGTGACCGAAATCAATTCAATCAATATTTCCACTTAGCAGTGTAGAAAATACCTCAATGAAAGTGAATGTTGGTCCACCAACGATGAACAGACAATGGTCCGTTTATACCGATTTCCGTATGTTCACTTAATATTTGGGTGAATCAATTTAACCCTGTTAACAGCTATTTTCTATGAAACCTGCTTTGTAATGAACCAGATGTTGAAACTGGTTACAGAAATATGCGGTCTTTTACTGGTATGTATAAGAAACAGAGGCGATTGTCCGGTAAATATTCACCTTCCAGTGATCAATACACCTGAATTCTTCATGCAGTCCACGGGGTTGGCGAACCGCAAATTGTTTGAGAAATTCGCAAGTTTCCACTATCAAAGTAGATTAACACAACTAGACGTGCAAGTTTTGCGAATACGATCATGAGCCAGTTGTTCCGCCGCTAAATATATGCATGCAACATAACAGGAACGGTGTACACTCGGACATCCGGATGTATTGTGTCCCAATGAAACCGCAAATAGGAGTCGGAGATCTGCAACGAAAGAGAATAGGACCTTTCTCCTCACGATCGGAGAGGAACACGGGGTAATGGTAAAACTAGTCAGGAAAAACATAGGTTCTCACAAATTGAACAATTATATCTAGGCGAAAGGCGAGCTGTTTAAGTCTGAAAGCGTAAAGGGATAATCTAAGGGCCCTAATGTAAATATTTTCAACATGCTGAAATCTCGTGGGGTTATGTGACAAGGCAACTCCAAGATATGTAACAGGATCCGCTTTTGGGATGATAGTATTGTTGCCACTTCAAGGTCAAGTTGGTGACCAAGAAGAATCTGGTGATAATGAGTGCCTGATTTGAAGCTAAACGGAACATATGCACACACACACATACACACACACACACCTATACACCTATCGACTTCGAGCATCGGAGTTCGGGGCGCGATATCAGTATATATTATATTGGCATTCATACTGAGCTGCTAATCCCGTGACCAAGCGATCTAATAGTTAGTTCTTTCACCGGGAACTATGTTGAAGCGTGACTTTGTGTTTCCCTAAATAAAGAATGCGCTTTAGTACAAAATGGTTCTCAGAGCGAACAAACAAAATGAAAACGTTGTTCGGACGAATCTGTTCCAGGAAAAATATTGATTTTTTGTTTCATTTTGATGACTTTTGGACAAACAGCAGGCTCTGGTACGTTCAATATAGTCTTTCATCTTGTTTGAAGAAAACATTCTCCTTTAGAGGTTCCATATAACATTTAATTGTGCACACACACACATACACACCTCTTCTGCGACGCCAAATGCAGCAGTGGAATAGTTGAATTTCCCGCAAATGACCTAAAAATGAGAATTCCCGATCAAAGAACCAATGAATGTGTCGTTTTAGAAAAGCAGAATTTTGAAAATCACAGTATTTGAGTTGAACAGTTATGGTCAAGACAAACGACAAGGAAAGGGTTCAGTAACATTACGCAAAACAATTATATTCTTCAGGTTTGAGAGAGCACCGACAACACAAACAACTATATTAGTATTATCAATATTAGCTACTCTTTATTTCTTCATTACCTCATACTAATAAGGAGCAATCGATGGTGATAAACAGAGCAGGTTGCCAACCACAGTGTAGAGCCCCTACCGCGGGGGGATTCGATCCCACGAGCTCACTGTTGATGACCTGACAACCTGTACAAATAGGTTAACCTAGTGATCAACAAAGCGTTCAATGACCAAAACGGCCCATGTTCAGCGCAGTCGAAATTCCTAACAACTGGTATACGACTAGCTGAATTTAGTTAATGAATACAAAAAAGCAATAAACATGCCAAACATATTTATCAGTATCGGGAACAAACATTTTACACCAGACTCACCGGAACTCGTGTCCAGTTTGTATTCATACGTTTGAAGTTTTTGCTAGTACAAGGAGAAGTCACATCACAAGTAAACAATATATATGAGACAGCGAATCACAGAAAACTATAAGAATGTTATTTGTTGCAGTTTCGAGAAAATTTGATGGACTACTGCAAACAAAACATGGCACGCTAGCTGTGTCCTAGGCTGCTGACTAATCAAAAAGACGTGGGATCAGTGACTGGTTGATGTTGCTAACTCCTGATCATGTGTAGAACAACATTGGACCTGTATGCGGTCCAACAACCGGCCGCATGCCAATCGAATAGCTTTAAGGCGATTTAGGTACCACCGTCGCAAGGGAGGAATAGTACGTATTTGGATCACAGGAATCGAACTGGAAACCAGTCCACAAACAGCGATAAAATACGCACGAGCGATCGAGTCAAATCGAAAATCGATCAAGCTTAGTTCGTACAACACGGACATCACAGCACCCAAGAGAGCCAGCAGTATCATTATAGTGCAAAATCCGGTCGTACTCGCAGACAGTGCGCTATGAATCACATCCAGTGAGGAAATTCCCTCCAACGAGTTCCTGTCACTTATGTTCGAACTTGTATTGAACCCGGGGAGACGTTGTCGTCTCAGAGCTCGCAACGTCAATGCACTGGTGATGAGAATCACCGTCACGGGGAGCGCGTACGCAAGTAACACATTCACAATCATTGGCAAGTGAACGAAAACGTGATCGAGCACAACCACACAAGTGTTATCAATAAAATCAACTTGTAAAAATGTTGGTATGGTGATCAGAGTGGCGAACAGGAAGATCACGAGGTAACAGATAAACAAATAAGTTTTTTTCTTTTCCTTATACGTTTTGCAATACACAATAGCCCAGAAGCGATCCAGTGAGACACATACAATGTTGAAATTCATTAGCATTCGAGTAAACGTGGTCAAGCCTGTATTCCGACCGATATAACACAATAGTTCTCCGATAATCACGTTTCTTGGATCCCGGTGGAATGGCCTCAATGCGATGAGTGAAGTTAGACACACGAGAAAGTCAAATATGCACTCATTGTACAGCAGAATTCTGGACACTAACGATTGTAATTGAATGCGATACAAACCGTACCATGAGATTATGTTAAGTAGAGAACCGGTGCCCAGAAATACGGCCGTAAATCCGAAAACGGGTACTGGTAATATGGGATCACGAACACGTTCGTATGCACCGGATTGAAAGGTAAGTGAACTACTATCATTAGTTGACTGCATCGATCAAGATGATGAGGTTGTTCAGGTGACGGATGGCTATGATCCACGTCCACTATGGATAGAATGTTTGATCGCTGAAGTAAAAGGTTACAGTTTTTTCATTGTGCATTTGATTGATTTGCGGGTAATTCAAGTATTGGGTTTTCAATATGACCAACACAAAAGTGGTTCCATTTGTTCAGATTTCTCCAATCCATCGGTTTGTTTTAAACGCTTGACATACGAGAAAAAACAGCTTCAATATTGGTCTCTTACTTTAACTTTTACGCCCTCAAAACCCTCCAATCCGGTGAGAATAGCTATTAAACGCTAATATCTACAAAGTACAGGGTATTCCGTCTAAAATAGATCTTATCTGTTCCAACACAGTATTTCTCATTGGCAAGCAAATCTCTCCATTCGTTTTTAATGTAATATCAACTAGCCAATCGTATGTGAATTTGGAAGTAGTACTCAAATTGTTGTACCATTGGCTATTTACCCATTTGAAGCGGTGCCTATTTATCTCTAAGTTTCCTATGGTGCGGTAGTGGTTGCATTCGAATCAGCTTAGAGGTACGATATATCAGAAGCTGAAAAACTGTCATCTTTTTCTCTCTCCTCCCTTGCAACAGTGCACTTCAATCGGGAATATGTGCACTTTCAATTTCTGTATTTTTGATGAAGCTGTTCTGAGATTTTGTTCTGGATAATTGTTCTCTGAAAAATATTGCTCGACGCGGAAATCGGAAGCTGAGTTAAAATTGAAATACTCGTGAAATCTCAAAAACGTGTGACCAGGGCTCTAAAATGCACCGCACGCGCACGTATCCAGTGAGATTAGTCCATGTCGAATTAGGGTATAACCGAGTGACCATTTCCAATCAACCGAATTATCTCTTTATCTATTTACCCACCTTTATCCACCTACTCATTCATCGTGCCTACCGTAGGATACCTCAGGATTCTCACCAAGTTTCTGTTCTTACAACAAACGCTTTGTTGTTTTGCAAAGCTGTTTAAATCATTTTGAAGCAACACAAAAACATCTCAGAACAAGCATTAGTTTCGCAATAAAACACGTGATCGTTCATCTTATAAAATCAGTTATACCCATTTTGTATTCAATTTTCTAACCTCTGTGGTACTGACCAGCTCCCAAAAATCGATGAATGGAGCTTCTTTGAACATCTGAAGAAACATGGACGTTTTTGGTGTCCCTGTTTAAGGATGTAGAGAAACACGCAGTGAATAAAGCAGTACGTTTATTGTAGAGGAGACATAAGTAGCCGGCCTGTAGATCATAGAGCAAGCATGAACGAGCAAACACGAAAGAATCGGGCAGGTATGCAGCCCAACAACTGGCTCAGGTGTCACACGGCTTCCACATGCGGTCAAGCAGGTGTTCAAACAGCCAACAAATCAATCAATGTGGACAGTTCAGTACTAACACCTGATTGGCCGGAGCCGATCGATACTGTAGCAATCACTCCACACGGCGTGAATGCGTGCATGCAAGCTACCTGACAGTCTCTGTCAAGCGATCGACCAATCAATTAATCAATCCAGCCACAGGCATGCATAATAAACGTAACATTTCAAGCGTAAAAACAAAAACAGCGAAAATGAGCGTAACCCAATCTGTAGGTTGGAAGCTCTACGTGAGAGGATGAGCGGTTTACAGAGTGGATGAGAGGTTTATGTGAGCTGTGAACTGCGCAATGAGTTTCGATAAAAGGGAATGTTGGTTTCACAAAAACTATATTTGATAAATGCTTCAAATTAGCACATCTCAATGACAAACGGTTCCATTAGTGAATCAACCCCAAAAATCTTTACGAAAGAACTGCGTTATTATCGGTATGGGTTAACCTCACGCTCAATCATATAGAACACTTCAATAGATTCATATTTCGTTTGAACAGAAAGAAGTTTATCATGATCCACTTTTGTTGTCCGCCCCGTTTTTGCTTAACATGAATCCAAGGCTCCAAGCCTTCAGTAAAGCAATACTGGTCAAGTTAGGTAATCCGCAATTTTTCGACAACTCCAATGACGAACCTCTTTTTGGCCACCTGTGATCGATAAGCTGGAGGGAGGAGGGAATAGATCAAACGGAACACTTTTAAACACAAAAAAGCATACCTGAGATTTAGAACAAACAGTTTGGCGAAACAATTGTTTTTCAGTAATTCCTTCTCAAGCCGTTTAGGTGACATTATTGAGGAATATGTCTGTCACGACGAATAACAGTTAGACACATCACCAATCATAGGTAAGAGTTTGTCATAGTCAACTGGTATTTGATTGTCATTTGATTGGTTTAACTGAGTTACAGCATCAGAGTGATCGGACGGCGGACACACTCGAGACCGATCGATCACTGGTCATGGAAGTTGGAGTGACTGAACCAAACACTTTTGGGCTCAGAGGTCAGGGGTCACCTTTCTTATCTTGATCGCTTCGGCTGTTGCTAGGTGCGCAGTTGAATGCCCTTGCACTTGGTGTGGAGGACACGATAAACAACTCTGAAGGTGACGTCCGGATTTACTTGATGTCCGGTGTCGGCTAAATGGGCTAGGATGGAGCTTTTTATTGATCCGGTCTGTCCTGGTCTTAATCAGCGTGGGCGATGCTCTTTGATCCGGGTAGATAGCTGTCGTGCCGTTCGACCAACATTAAATGTCCAGTTCCTATTCAACAGACAACGAGATGGTGTGGCCATGGGATCACCACCAGGACCACTCTTTGCTGATGTCTTCCTCGCAAAACTGCAAAGAACTAAACCGAAGTCGGTAATCGATAGTGTTCGCTCTCCGGTGATGTGTCTAACTGTGTGGTCTGTTTTCTGATGTTAGCTATGTAATCCGTAAACGGCTTAAGAAGGAATTACTGAAAAACAATTGTTTCGCCAAACTGCAATTGTTCTAAATCCTGTGATGGGAATCTTTCATACCTGGGATTCTTTTCTATGCCAGAATACATTATTGTCAAGGAGAACTAATGTTTGTCGACCGGACCGGACTAGATCAATGAATTTCTATCTGAGTTGGTGAAACACCTGAGAGGCTGAGGTGCTTAGCTATTGGGCCACCCACCACGATTATGAACCTCCCACACACACTACTGAAATGGAGTAATGAAGTAGTTGTTGAAACCACCGCAGCATTGGACACCGGCCGCTAAGTAGTAGTATGAACAGTGTACATTGTAGACTAACTAACTCATCCTCGCAGTAAGTCAAAGCAGATCAATTAAAAAGTGATCGAATCTGGAGATTGTCAACACTTCAATGTATTCAATAAATTGCACTGCCAAACGAAAACATTTTGATGTCTTTTAGGTAGTTTTCTCTAAAATCGTCGCTTAAAACTAATCTCAGTATCAATGTAAATTGACAAAATGAAGCTAATATCAGAAATTTGCTGAAGATGCGCGACACTGATTGAGATGTGGATAGGTATTTAATCTGTTAGCTAAATAACACTGTTACAATAAGAAAGAAAGACTAAATATACAGACTTCATATATTTCGATCGAAAGAACTCTAACGTTCGCGCACACTAAATTGAATGACTATTCTCCCGAATCTAATATCCTAATAAATTGACTTTTAACGGGAACACTACCTGAAGACCGTTATACACACACTTTTGTTTGTGTATTTCTCATACGAGCTGTATCCACTGAGGCATCGGATCTACCGTACCGCCGGTTGAGCTGGCGCGCAGCGTATTACGCAATATATTCTAACCCCGGATGAATCCCTTGAAAGGGTGCATTACATATGTCAGTACTGGGAGGCACACACAGAGAGAGACATCGCATGACTTTTTTCTGTTTACACTATCCACATTTGAAAACGACACGTATTGACCACAGTAAAAACGCAAACACCGGAATTGTGTGATCTTATCACGATTTAGCAGCAACTTGAAAGACCTGCCGGGATCAGCAAGTTTTGGCACCACTTCCTGCGTCTTGCAGAGCAAAATGTGTGTGATTACCGTCTCTTGTGAGAATTGAGTTTGATCTTCACGTTTGAACAGAATACTGTGCAAACAATTTAGGGAAATTCATGTGAACTTCAGCAATTTAGACGCCTTCTGAGGTGCATATGTCCCAAACATCTGGAAACTGTGTTCTATCGATTACCGGAAAACAAAATCGATTTCAAACATGACACAATTGTTTTCAGATTCCAAATAATCGAATACCGCACTATGGTGCATTTGGCGTGAGCCACATAAGTTGAAGTAATTTTGATTAAAATTACCTATACGAGTTTTAGACTTCCACGGTTCACGGGATACTTGCATCGACGAATTCCGTAGTATTTGGTGACATAATTGTATTTTTTCTCACTGAACTTTGTTGTCGGGATTACTGGTTGGGTTTTACGTAGTATGCAAGATACCGGAAACAATATCAAGATAATCCGATAGAAATGTGCAAGAGTTTCCTGACAAACGTGGCNAATCCTTCTCATGAATCCGTGTGCAAAATTAAACCACGTTATGGTGGTCGATCGTTGCTGAAACTCTGTACGCTCCATTGGTATAATTTTTTATCAGATGATAGTATCAAGATGCTCTGTTAAATGTCATGAGTGCGTATGCATATCTATATTTAGACGTTAACGCATTCACACCTTCCGAAACTTACCCCCAAGCAGATCTGATCTGAAGTTTACCGTTAAGACCTAACTCCAACCGCGACGCTAATGCACAACAATTCAACGGACCCCCAACCCAACACCAGAAATCGGAACACACAAGAGAGCGTGCTGATCGGAACCAGGTTAACAATTTATTGAATGATCGTGAGAATATATCAATCGAATAAACGATCGCCTAAAACTAGGCCAAGCTGGCTCACGGACAATACGGATTGGAAGCGTATTGGTCAGTTTCTGTCATGAATATCTGTATCACGTGATTGGACGATCAGTGGGAACTGATGGACAGGTGCATACGTAGCAGTTAGTGAAAAAGCGTGTTTCTTACGCCAAAATGGATGGT